GCACCTTTAAGAGTTCCTTCTTGAAGAATATCATTAAATACAGGAAAAATCATTGTGTCACTTGCAAAATTTACACTCCCAAAGATTTACCAAAAGTCTTGGTAAAGACTTACCAAAACCTGAGATTTTAAACAGCAGAGGTGGCTGAGCTATGCATTTACAATACACTTGGTGCAAATCATGGATAACAAGCCTCTACGGTGATCTAAACCATAATGTATATTCTGTGTGACCACACAAACTGATATCTTACTCTTATTTCACACTTTAAACTCATATTGAACTACTACAGAATAGAGTTAGGAAATTATATTGTTCTACATATAAAGCTGCAGATTACATTCCACGTAGTTTTAACGTTAAAGCACTTACACCCAAATCCCCGCATGCTAATTACCTCAGGCTTGCTAAAATCTGCAACAAGGCATAATGGATTTGTTATCTGCTTCTCCAACCGTTCCTGGAAAAATAGAATTCATGATAACAACACACCCACTTAAGGACACAACAGTCACTGCTACCTGACAAAACAATACTCTTCCTAGAGAGACTAAGAACCAAATATCCTTTCTTACTAGCATTGCTATTACTCTCTCCATTATTAATCATAGACTCGTTTAGGTTTAAGACCTAAAGACTTTTAAGATCATCGAGTCCAGCACCACAAAAGATGCATAAAATAATAATCTACTGCAAGTTTTGTCAATCAAAAATGGTCAGAGAGATGTTTCACATCCTTGTGGCAAGACCCATCTCTTAAACTGCTCTGAGGTTGGCTACCAGAGATTTTATAGGCAACTGGCTGTTTGCTTGTAGAACTTCCCCACTCAGGAAGAACAGGAAGCTACTGCTTCACAGAGACAAGACACTGAGCTGTGCATTTTCATATCAGAAGCACCTGGCGCTTGCTCTCAGCTTTTTAGAAGAATGTTTGAGGGCAGTCAGGATCTACTTTCTGCGGGCCCAAAAAGGCACACAGCACCATGTAGCTTGCAACCCCTCTTATACAAACTCATTCAACACCAAGAAACCACATATTCGTAGACCTTCATGGAGTCCCCAGCAGTACAGGGATAGGCTGCCCATTTTTTTTTTGTTTTTCTCTACACTGGCAGGTATTTTTGAAGTATTTCCTATTCTCTACAGTTTAGTAAATAGGTATCACTATTCTTACCCAACAAAATTAGTGTAAACCCAAATCACGGGTAACCAAATCATGTATCTGCTGAACTCTGCTTCCAGTGCTCAGACCATTAACACTCAAGAACCTGGCTATGTCAAGCACACACTTACAAAGTAAAACATCTTGGGTGTCTTCACTTGGACAGCTATGCCTCCATGTAAGTAAGGCTCCATATCTGACGTATCACCAATGCTGAAGGAATAAGGTGACACCACTGAAAAGAGAAGAGAATAAACAGTGACTGATAATTAAAAGTATCATTAGATACTACAATTCTGTATACAGTAAAGTGGGGTTTTGCTGATGCTTTTTATGCTGTAATTTTGTAGCGTGCAACCTTGCTTTGATAGCATAAACGCAGCTGATCCTCCTAACAGGATTGTACCTCTCTGCCAGTTTTTGGGCTATAGTATTAGTTTCACGTGATCTGTTATAAAATAAGCTTTTTAAAGTGGCAGCAGATTTAACAAGAATTCTGATGACCATAGCTCTGTAACAAAAATGAAAACACTCTCAGTTTTATTTAGACTGTGCACAGCAGTGTCCAGTATACTGCTCAGAGTAGGATTTTAGTCCCATGACTAGAACAACAGGCAATCAAGAAGGGCAGCAGGAGCATTGAAGTCACATCTTTCCTCTCATACCACCTGGACCATCATTCAGATAAAGCAAGATGACGCAAAAATTGTTAATTCATGGAAAACTGAAACCAAAAGCTGGGCTGTAATTAAGAGGAAGGGACTGAACACAGCACTAGCACTAGCAAAACAAAAGGGTCCAGAGAAAACAGACTCAACCACGTTTCAAAGGTACCGTTTTTGTCTCAGACCACAAAATAGTTAAAAACAAACAATCCCCACCCATCCGCTCTCTCTTCTGCTCCAGACAAACAGGCATTCAGATCTGGGAATTGGGCAATTCCTCAGCATCCAAAAGGAATGTAGTATGCCTTGAGACATGCATGATGCAGACCAAAGCAAGGTAAACATAAATCATGAGAATCACTTCAAAAGCATACTCAGAAACAGAGTGATGCCAATGCATGTCTGTACACTTACACTGTCACCCAAAAAACCATAAGGCAAACAATGACAGACAAAGTGGTGTTAATTTAGTCCAAAACCACAACAGAAGCACAGGCATTATGGGACCCTCCAAAAAACAAAACAGTTTTGTCAGCAAACTAACAACAGTAACCTCAGAGGCTGCCATCTAGTTTCCACTAGCTGAGAGTTTCCCCTGCTCCTTAAGCAGCAAGATGAGTTTGGAAAGACTTTACTCAATGGAAATGGAGTCAAGACAACACTAGGAATGCCTCTGCACCAGAAAGCAATTTTTTTGTGCAAGCTCACTGGAGGTCTGCACAACCCAGCACTCCTCCGGCTACAGTAAGTAACACTACTGTAGCTAAAACAGGCCAAAAACCAAATACCTTGCAAATGAGTCAGCAACAGTTTACCTGTTATTTGGTGTGTGGATCCATTCAAGCATGACATTCCATTAACTTCCCGAAAGGTTAAGAACTGTCCTGTTTCGAGCCTGTGTGGATGATTTTCAAGGCAAGTGACAATACCAGGATTTGACTGAAAGTGAAAATGGCAAAGTTAGCAAGGAGGGAAGTGTCTTGTGCAAAGGAGTCACACTTCATCGTAGACACATAGCTTTTTGCCTACTGAAACTGCAGCTTCTAATACTTTTAGCAGCTCAGTTCTGCCGTAACAAGGGAGTTGCCTATGATAACTTTTTCAGTCCTGTTATTTTCAGTTTAACAGTGTTTTCATAACACAGACTTTCTCATTTTTACCTTTTACAGTTCTCAGCATGTTAGCAAACTGCATTTGTTAGTTCTTAGCAGTCAAATTCATTGTTATGTCCTGAAGTCGTAGCAAATTTATCTCCTTTTTCCAAACCAAAACTTGAAAGTTAGGAAGCTTACAAAGCTGGACATCCTTAAATACAGGAAAGCCACAGCCTCAAGCAGATCACAAACAAACAAGCTTACACTTGCAGAAATCTCCGACATCTCCTCCTGTTACAGGATGTCATGCCAACCTCCCATGCACACAGAGACTCCTCTGCAGTCTGAGGACAGCTCATCAAGACCTTGTTGTGCAGCTCAGGCTGTTACATAGTGGATTTGCAAGCAAGCCTGGCCTATAAAGTCTCCCGCCATCCCTTCCTGAGCTCCCAATATTAGAAAGATTTCACTTAAGTAGCATAAAACTTAATTACAGTGGACTACATTCTCTGTGGCATGGAGAACGGCAAATGAGTTGACCAGAGAAAATTATTCTCTGATTTAGGGACAGAATGCCACCTTGACCCCGTCCACAGGATAAGAACAACCACTTGATGGTGGTTTTGGTATTGAGTTGTAATTCTGGTCAGTTTTACACTTCAGAGAGTGGAAGCAAGATACAAGTTATCAGATTATGAATCACAGGATATATATACAGATATATAATCATTCCTTGACTTGGCAGGCAATCAGCACAAGCCATGAAACGTAACTGTGTACTCTTTACGTAATTAATGAGAACAATCAAGTCATCCATTCCCTTTTAAAGATAGCAAAGAACAGGCTACCCAAATCATCATATCATGAGCTTTAATTCAGATCAAACCCAACTTGCTATACAACCCCTTCTAGTTTGGTTATTATTATATCTAGACCGGAGAGAGGACAAAAACTTGCTACTGGATGAGTGAGATTATAGTCTGGACTTCCAGAGTTGAGACAAGCAGCTGAAGTCGTTTGCATTTATAAAAGAATAATACAAGATCAAAATAACATCTTCTCTAACATTCTACACTGGAAGTATTAGCAATAATATCCTTTTCTCGTCACCTCTGCTTTGGTAGGTTAAAACTAACGTTTAAATTTCTTTTCAAAACAGGCTCTCAATCCCCTTGATCATTCCAGTAGTCCTTCCCTATATGTGCTGCAGTTTCTCATAAAAAAGGGCTATTTTCATGCCTATTTCAGGGCTTCCTTAGAAGACTTAACCTATTCCCACACCAAGGCTATGTCCTCTTCTCTCTGCATCTCCTCACTTATTTCTCTCTCTCTCTCAAAAGGAAAAAAAAAAAAGAAAGACTCAATATTGTGATGTTACATTGTAAGTAATGACCAGGAGGCATCACTATGCTCTACAATGTTAGCACGTTATCACTGGTTTTGACTAACACATGAACAAACTTTGTTTGCCTCTGCTATACTGCCAATTTTCAACTGCTTAGCAGGCTGCTGAAATGAAACACTGATTGGTCACATTGCCAATAACGAGCCATTATAAAAAAAAAATTAAAGCAGCACAATGACTTCTACCCCTTACTTGTGTTATATTTGAAATGAAGATCTCCTTTGGCTCCTCTCCTGTTGTATCCAGCACTTCAAATTCATCACCCAAGTCACAAAACAAACGTGAACATATTCCATATACATCTGCACTGATGAACTACAAGAGAAAGTAAAAACCATGAGTAACCCTAAAACAGCACAAGCCAAAGAAATAACTCTCACATTCAACCTTGTCCAAGGCTAGCAGGTTTAAGTTCTACAGTGGAAACCTGTCATGTGCATGCAGGCCACTGACTATATAGCACAGCATTCATGATAGACTTTGAACCTCCATGAGCATTTCAGAACCCCTACACAAAAAACAGGAATCACACCAATATGCAGTGAAATACTGTCATTTCTACTACTGTTACATTCGGTCTCAGCACGTTCTTTCGGAACAATTATGAGTTAACAGTGAAAACTATTTCTTTAACTGAACCTCTTTTTGCTTGTTTGTTTTGGTTTGGTTTTTTTTCTTTTTTTTTTTTAAAGAACCAAGTTACGGTTATCAGAGCTGGTATCCAGATAACACCAGCCACATGTACAGAGTAGCAGCATCATATTCCCAAAATTCATACTGCTCCATCAACATGTTATCTGCATAGAACTATATAGCTCATAACCAGCTTTCTCCATTTCTGGATAGAACATGTTGGAGGTCCAGAATGCTCACTGTATGGATTATTCATGTGTTTAATTTTTTCTGTTACCTTAATAGGTGGCTGCTGAGCATGACAGAAATCATTAATCTTCTTCTGCAGCAACAGACTTACTTCAGTCAATATGACACACTGAACAAGAACAGAAATAAATATAAGACACCGAAAGCAATCAACATCTACAGGCTATGGAAAAAGTAGTACTAACAGTAAGGTACTCAGGTGTCCTGATTCCTTTCCCCCACACATAACACAGAAAGCAGTCTTGAGTCAGTTTTCTCATTACACATTAAAACAGATGGGTTACTGCTCCACAAGTTCTGGAAACAAGATAAGCAAGAGCAGGAACAGCAAATTCTCTTTTTTTTTTTTTACTGCAGCTGTGAAACTCAAAATCTAATTAGAACACTTATGAAAACAGTTACAGATATCTCAGAGAAAATTTAGATCTTGAATTTTAAGATTAAAGTTAGCAAAACAAACACAAGTGATACTCATCAGTGCACACCAAGAAGTCTGCACAAGCTTCAAGTACTGGTGCTCATCGAATTGCAGACATACAATTTCTGCAAGCATTCTTTTAAAGTTTAAGATAGTATTCGGTTACAAAGCATATGCACTGCATCCCATTCAGTTATACATGGCTTATTATATCTGGGACATTCAGAAACTTGGTGAGCCTGGGTATAACCAATAGCCACACAGTAAAAGTTCCCAACTCAGACTGAGCCTTGCACACAGGCAGGAGACAGCTGACTGAACAACTGAAAACATGCTCATTCCACCACAGAGGAGCTTACGTTTCATTAGATACATACATACATAAATGATCTAATTATATAGCCTGAGTTTCTACTGCCTGGAATACAAAATATATGTAGAACATCTGTGCTACGTAGCTGCAAAAAAGTCACAGTTTCACCTTTGACAACAACAACAAAAAATTGTATGGCAATCTCACTTAGCTATGTATTGTCACAGCAAATTCCGTAATAAGTGTCATAAGAAAGTGCTAGGAACACAAAACCACTGTTTCAGCCTTGAAAAAAACAAGCACGACCATTTCATTAGTCCAAATACAAGACCTACTTCTTTCTTTACATCATCTCAAAATGTACTTTAAAGTTTGTTTTCATTTTATTTACTTATATAAAAAAATCCAAGTTGTTTGCTCTGAGCAAAATACCACATACAACTGCTTTAAGAGTGACATACCTGGTACTGCTTTAGAAAAGACAGATCTGTGGTTTCATCCAGTGGCACAGTTGATGCTGCTACATGGACATATGGATTGAGTTCTGCAATACGATGAAGTGTGGCCTCAGCCCTGAAAGAACAGCAACTTTCAAGTTTTTTATGCATCTACAAAATTGTATTTTCAGTACAGGATTTCATACCACACATGCCCTACAAGAGTCCCTCAGGAAGTCTCCTGGCAACAATCACCAATTCATTTATTCACACTTAAATTCCTAGCAGGTTTAAGGAAAACAGCTCTGTCCAATAAACAACAGGACTCACTGGTGGTCTGGTGTCAATGGCTGTTTTCTAGACTCGCACGGGTGGCTGAGAACGCCCAAGGAAGAAATGCACCCTGGCCCCCACTATTAAATTTACATTACAAGCTCCCAGCTGCAAGAAGTGAGATGTTTGACTCAGACAGAACTCCAGTCCCAACCTAGACTTCCCCTAATACCTACCTGGGCATTGTACTCAAAGCCAGTAACTCCAGAGAAAGGGTTTAACAAGTATTTGATATGTATTAGCAGCTCTTGGACAATGAACTGTTATTTTTGCCACTGATGAAACTGTTACCCCTAGTCAAGTTCAGTCCTCCCTCACTCCAAAGACTTCACCAACCTGTTCTTTTGACTGGTAATATCATCTTCATGGATGAAGAAGTTGATCCCCAAATCCCATTTCGTGCACTGCTTGGTGTCATGAACTGTAAGAGCCTAAGAAAGTTCAGCAACAAACATTTACTGGAAGAACTGTACATGATCATAGCACCCAAAAGGAAGGATTAAGCCCCACATAAAATGCTGGAGGACTAGCACTGCAGAAGATTTAGTTGTACCATTACAAGAACAAGCTTCTTCCACCTCTTTTCCAAGAAAACTCTTACTGTTTGAAAGACAGAAATGCATCTGCGATATGCATTTCATTAAGCATTTTCCTCCCAGGTTGCAGTGATGAGAGCGTTTAAATACCGAGGATGATTTTTGCCACACTGCGATTAAGGGGCAACTGCGATCTGTAAATTAATGTACTCCCAAAATTATAAACAAGTTTTTTTTTTGATTGAAGAGTTTTAAAAGGTTTCTCTCTAATAAAATTAATCCCAGCAGCACAAAAGCAGTTGTTGGATTAAAAAACCCAACCATTCTAATATCTACACAAAAGGATTCTGATGGATGACAGAATAGGATAACATATTTTGCACAGTTTGGCTTTTGAGTTTGTATCACTCCATTTAGGAAAGGCCACTTTGTACAAAAAAATTAAATGTCTGATCAGCAGCTGGCTAAAATATTACACGAGCTATTTCAGAGTGCAGTGGACATTAACGTAAGACTCGGACCATACCACTAGAACATCCAGATTATTAGAAGTTTTCACCCTCAGGTCCTCAAATGTTTTGCAATCCTTCTACTGGAAGACAGTTTCAGAAACTTAAGATTAACTAGCTAGTAGTGTTGACCTTTTTTCTCCTGCTCACCCAAGAATATCCAACAACAGAACTGTTTTACATACCTTTACCCCAGCCAGAATTATATTTTTGGCTGAAAAAAAAAAAAAACAGAAAGAGAGAGGGATTGTTGCAGATTTCTTGCAAATCTGTAATTGAATAGTTATGTGGGTCGACAATAACAGTATGTCATTGCTAAGAACTTCACAGCTTAAGGGTTTGTTCTCTTTTACATTTGGCTCAAGCATTCTACAGCACCACTGAAAGCAGAATAACATGAGCAAGGTTAAAAAGGCTCTCTACATTTGTCATTTGTCAGCTGTTCATCCCACAAGCATGATTACAGAGACACTAATGACAATAAACTGCAGAACCCCATGACTCTGTTCTGGCATCCGGTGCAGAGTACCCTTAAAGCCAACTGAAAGTGTAATACCCCAGGTAGGAACCAGCCAAGACAAGTCTTGCTCATAGAGAGTAAGGGAAATTGTTAAGGAGTCTCTTGCACCAGGGCAGTTATGCATTTTTCACCAAATTGCATCTGTTCTCCTACCTCCCATTTCCTACACAGGGACAATTCGGGCTATAGCTGTTCCTGTATTACATTCATTGATACTGATGCCTAAAGGAATAACTTGGATTATCCACCGTCAACCTTCACCCAAGACACAAGATTTTGTTAAAGCGATCTGGTCCATGGAAGCACATTTTAAAGTAAAATTTGAAATGTTGTTCTAGTAAAAAGCTTACTAGAGAAAAGTCCAGGATCTTTCCTGCATCTGCTATGTTACTCATATGCATCATGCACAGATAAATTCACTCGGATACTTCAGATATGCTTATTACATCTAAAATAAGCTTTACAAGTATTCTGGGACAGTATGTTTACATACATTTGTGTCTGCTTAAATGTTACCTAACTTACCAATCTCCACACCAAGACCACCTATACCACTCAGGAATACATGGGACTGAGCCATCTTCTGCATTGCTGTGTCTCCAAGAACATACCTCTGGCGACTACAGCAAAAATAAATTCATATCAAAACAAGATACAAATAAAGTCAAGCGCATATGAAAGCAAGTCAAGAATTCCCAGTCATTTCCAAAAAAGTTCAAATATTTTCAGTTATTCTATCATCCCAATCAGTTTCTAATCCGCAATATCAAGTTCTGCAGATGGGTGTGTGTCACTAGTGACACGTGCATAGTTCTATTTACCAGCCCTCTATTCAACAAGCAACTGAGGACATAACATGCATCTACCTGAACTGTATAGTGCTTTAGGAAATAAATGTATATCAAATGTAATATTTGCACTCACAACCCAAATAGTGAAATGCATTTAGTACAGACCTTTTCAGTGCCAGGTTTCAGTGAAGAGAAGTAACTTTTAATTTTAAATCAGTATAAAACCTATTCAGGATAGTAGGTTTTTAGAATTAACTATTGAAGACACAAGCAAGCCAAAGAATTTCTTTGTTATCAGAAATCTTCAAACCAGAGGATGCAGCAGCTTTTGTAGCTAGATCCTGAGCTCTGAAAGATTCTTAGTTTCCAACTATACAATTAAACTTAAACCATTTTAAACACCACCTTTTCCACCAAAGAAAAGCATGACTTTCATAAGACTAGTGCCAAAAAGTAAAGTGACACATACAACACAGGAAGCATTGCACTGAGTTAAAAAGAAGCCTCATTTGTTCAGCATATAGGCGATTTTTTTTATCTTTTTTTTTTCTTATATAAAGAAGCTTTTCATCCCACCACGTTTTTCCAGGGATATCGTTTGTTCCAGTACAGGCTCTCTGAACTATTGCCATGCCAAGTGATCTCAAGCCACTCCCAGCTAACAAATTAAAACAAAACTAATAATAATAAAAAAAAATTTTTAAAAAATCTGCCAAAAAACCCTACAAAACCCAACACCCTGAAGTCTGGAGGATAACAGAGATACTGATGATGTTCATGAGGACAGAGAAGTATGGCAAAGAATGAGAAATAAATGAAATTATGAAGGAGAAAAGTTACATAATGTCAAAAATGAAGGTGAAAAGAAGGTAGTGAAAGAAGATGAGGAACAAGAAAGAGAGGAATATCTACTTTGTCAAAGGGGAAACAAGCTGAAGGCAGAAAGAAAAATCCATTTTCCAAATAGAAGTATTATTCCTGTTTTCCAAAAAGCACACATTATTGATACTATTGGAACTCTGTACAACTCCATAGTATTCACCTACACTTTTTACTGGTCAAATACTTATAATGGTCAGAAAACACCTCTTATGAGACCAATAAAAGAACAGTTTTACAGAAAGATGGATCATATCCTCAATTCAACCAGTTCTCACTGCTAGAAGTGGGTTCTATTTCACTTGCTGAACACTTTGGGTTTTTTGCCTTACAAAACGCAGGACACAGCAGCACAAGTACACATACCTTTACCTAACCGGCAGTAGATAGTGTTTTCAAGCCTCACATTACTACACGTAAACGTAAGCGTTGCTGAAAAGTCAAGAGCAATGCTTAAAAATCAGATATTCTTACCTATACAAAGCATCATCAATTTCCATAGACTCTGCCGCCATGATGCAGTGTGATTTGTTTACACTAGAAGGGTTACAAAAAGAAATAATCTGGTTACATTGGATGCAATTTCACAGTTGGCCTCCCTTCCCCACCCCACTCTATTCTTCAATAGAAGAACTGGAAAACACAGAAAGCGATACATAGGAATCACTTTGAACATTAAGAAGCCTATAGAACACCACAGCATCTAGGTAATTAAAACGCACAGGAGCCAGAATACAAGAACCCCCAAACCTTCAATAAATTATTTCAAAATAGAGACACATTAATTTCCCCATTGAGGAGATGCAAGACTTAATTTTTGTATTTGCCATAGTTAGACTTAGTAAAAGTACAATTTCATTTTATATTAACAGCTCCAAGCTGTTTGACTTGCATCTACCTGATTGGTGCTTTTTCTTGAAGAGAAGATAGGAGATCCCTGAATGACTAGGAATAGTTATTTATGCTGCATTATTTCTATGTTAACTGAAAATCAATACCCAAAGATCTGAATTAACGCAACATTTAACTAAGATATCAAGTTAAACAGCTTGACAGGATTTTAAGAAAAAACACAATTTGTGTTATTAAGGCCTTCAGTCATTAGCAAAGACTTTTTCATTGTTAAGTTACCTTAGTGATAACTAAGCACTAGGATCAGGAACAAACTGCCACTGGGCAGCTTGTTTCTTAGTTATGCAAGCTGGGAATTCGTGCTTCCTGGACCTGGCAGGTGACTGCCACCAAATACAGGACGAGCAAAATAGACCCCATGTTTGACCGAGAACATCGGTTCCCATCGCTACTAGGAAGGTACACTTCTTATTTCAACTCTCTACAAACTGCCTTGGAAACTAGACATGGCTGACAACCCTTTCTACTAAGAGACTGAAAAGTAAAGGCCCAGACATACTAAGGAGTTTCTTCTCTGAAAGCGCAGATATAGTCTAAAACAGCTTTCAAGGCAATCCTGCCCAAAGGTGAACTCTTATTTACTGTTCAGATGGTTTTGGCAAACAGTTTAACATTTCTGAAGTGCGGCACCTGCAGCCTGTCCCAACTTGGAGACTACAACATTCCGACCTGAAATTTGTCCTTTTGATTTTTTAGGCTGAATTAGAAAGCACTGAAGTAGTGCAGCAAGGGACAGAGTTACATTGAAAGCAGGACACAAATCTCACCAGTGAAGCTCTTCCACAGTGTGGATACTGATTCCTACACGTAAGCTAGCACACAAGACAGTCAACATGAGGCACCTCCATCGCAATCTACACCACCGGTCACTTCAGTGCAGCTCCCATGCCCTTACACAAGGGCTGAAGACAAGCAATGCCAATGTTACTAGACCATCCTAGGACCCAGATCTCAAACCAGAGAGCAACATACCTCATCTGAGAGTCACGGGCTTCAGTCCGTGCTTAGGTAAAAGCCTTCATTTCAGCCACTGCCTGGGACACAAGACTGGAAGCTTCCCTCAAAGCAATTCAGCGCCATCTCGTAATGGCTCAGAGCAACCATCCCCGAGCTGTTCTGCTCCTCTGCGATCAGCCTCCACAAACAGCACAGGGACTCTGGGACTGCCCAACATAAACAGGTTGTGGTACTAAGGAGGGGAAGTTGATCTACCCCTGGATAAAAACACCCAGCTTCCTCTGCTGTGGTTGCTGACAGCCATCTCGATCAGTGTGCCCTCCCAAACAGCCTTTTGTAAACAACGAGGATGTGTGATCAACCCACAAGAGAGCTTCCTCCACCTGTACTGCACAGACCCGTTTGACAGTGGCTCTTCCAATATATTTATCAATTCCCAGTTGTCCTCCTGCATTCCCCGTTACAGCACTAAGCTGCTGCCAGCATACCTGTCAGGTATGGCAAAACATCTCCCTCCAAAAGAGGACTTAGTGATACTATTGTCAAGTGGCTCTAGGACAAAGTTTTGTTAACGTATTCCAGCATCCAAGTTGTATTTCTCATTTTAGTTCAACCGATATTGAATCTGTTTCAAAGAAAGGCATGTAATATGGTGGGGAAAAAAGCCATTCTAACATTACGTCCTAGGTCTTACCAGATGCTCGACATTTATACACTTCGCCTGTTTCCTTTTAAAAGCCAACGCTATCAGTTTTAAAGCCAGGCTTCTATTTAACTCTATAAGTAATGTCCTTCATTTTTTAAAGCCTCAGCTGCTTGTGGGACATAACCCAGGGACAAACTGAGAAGTTACGTGTTACCAAGGTCTAAGATGCTCCGAAGACCAGCAAAGGCACAGGAGCTGTAGCGGTGGGCCAGTTTCACAGTGTTTCTTACCTCCAAGTCAG